GTTTCTGTACCTCTTTTGGAGTAAGGAAAAATGTCCTTTGACGTTATACCAGATCCATTTAGATATCAGTAAGGCTAAAATAAATATTGATGCGAAGTCCACTTCAAGCAGTGGGAGTCAGTGTTGTGACCATGCTAAAGAAAAAATTCTGAACCAGATCTGAAATCCTGAGATTTTGCGATCAGCTTTATTTTTATTTCTGTGTGGTGTCTCTTTACTCTTTAAGCAATCTTAACTGTTGGTGCTACATTGTCAGTGCAAGACTTACTCCTCTGTTGCTATGTTCTAGTAGCCCCTGATGCATAAAGTGAGAAGGAAATGTGCCCGAAACAGGCCACAACTGGCTTCTTTGGAGAATCCTTGTTCTAATTTGGCAGAAAGTGATCATTGAGAATCTGGGATTGTTAATTTAAACTGGTTGGTGTAAATACTGGATTAGGTCTTCACAAAGAGAAGAATAGTTGCTAAAATCGGAATGGAAGCATGGTTGGGAGGTTGGGCACAGCAGCCTGAATGGCAAGGTAAAATGGTAGTTATGCCAGTGTGATATTGGGGTCAATGTTTTTACCAGGGCTGGAAACAAATAGTAAAATACTGGGTATCCCAGAACTTGAATACTGCAGTGCAGTGGTTTTCATGTTCTAATCGAGATACTGTCCCATGGTCTATATCAGACACACATTACGCCTTCTCTCATCCCCATGTGGTATATTGGTCCCTCTCTGCATCTCTGCTACTCCTCCTCCTATATGTACTTCCCTGATCTCCTCTACCCACATTGCTGGCCTGCCCAAGTCTCTTGTCCTACTGTGGTTTCAATCCCATTGGCTCCCTGTATTCTGACAGCACCAATCCTGGCAGTGGCTCCAGTAGGTAAGGGTAGCTCCAAATCCCTCTTCTTTTTTAAATAGAGCAGCCACTAGTAAAAGCAGCTACTATGCTTCCTTTTAACATTCTTATAGGCCTCTAGGCTTTCCTCTTAACATCCCAGAACGTTATAAAAAGCAAGAAGGAAGAGCCAGCACATTTTGCTTTGCCTTTTTCTGAAGACCCCATTCCAGGAAATTCTGCTATGCATGGTCCCAAGATATTAGACCCTGAAATGAGGTTCTCATTTGTAAAAATGGCAGTGCTGATTTTACACTTGTCTTACGGATTTTGTTGCTGATTTGACAAATAAGGCGAGTAATCTGTCATCTTAACCTGGGATCAGGAATGCACTGTATTCTAAGATCTTCTAGCTGTGCAAATATTACTTTTTATTATTCCTGAACAATGGTGTTACGTTCAGTGATGTCGTCCATGCATAATTATAAGCAAATTGTTAAGAGTGGTATTCAATAAGGAGTCCGGTAATTGGAATTTATTTAACAATTCTGCTGGAAAGTTTACTTTTTGATTATGAAGAAACCTTACAAGTCTTGCTGAAGATAGAAAGCAGATCTGATGAGTAATAAGATGGCTTCTTTTACAAAGACTTTTTTCCAAACTGGAGCCATATTTTAATACTGTGTCTTAAAGATGCTACTTGCGCATCAGACTAGCAATGCTTTTTTTTATACTGATCCAGGACTTAATACAGTAAAGTCTAGACTCTTAAAGAAGTGTAACTTTAGATCCCTTGAGTGACTTGAGACTGTAAATAAAACCCTAGTCTCACAAATAGTAGCATACAGAACTCTTACTCAGCCTTGCCTTTAAACTGTTTTATTTAGTAGTTCTTCTGTACCTTTATCACTAGCTTTGCATCTTGGACATATGAAGTAACACATGATAGCAAGCAGCAAAGGCCCAACAACATGCCCTGCATAAAATCAAGCTTTATCTTTTTTTTCTCCTAACTGCCTAATTTAAACTACTGTGTTTACTTGAATCTAAGATGATGCTGAATTTAAGATGACCCCCCTCCCTTCCCAATACTTAGATTCTATATCTGGAAAATGTATAAATTTGTTATAAATTTCCAGATACAGAATCTAATTATCAGAAGGTTGTCTTAAATTTGGCCACCCCCACCACTACAGCATAGAAAGTAGTAGCTGGGGGGCGTCAAGTGCCCTCCTTGCCCTCTGCTCCTCGACTTCTTCATCTTGCAGCCTTCCTGCCCCCACTCCCAGCTCCCCATTGTCTCTGCCCCTTCCCTCCCACCAGCTCCCCACAGTCTCAGTCTCTGCCTCTTCCCTTCCCCCCCACCCCACCCTTATTGTCAGACCCTGCCCAGGGTCTGTTCCCTCCCAGAACATAGCACATGGAAATGAAGACCCTGCCAGCCATGCAGCAGTGTTGGGCAGGGGACAGTGTTTCCATGTACATTGTGCCCAGGAGGAAATGCAGCCTGAGCCAGAGTCAAGCTGCACCTGTCAGTAAGGGGGCTGAAGAAGGCAGAGGCAAGGGGGCAGAAGTGCAGAGGACGTGGGCCAGGGGGCCAGAGGCTGCTGTCGGTCTGACTGGCTCTGACCCAGGCTCAGGGCCAGAGTTAGAGCTGCAGCAGCTCTCCGCCCCCCTCCCCCTGACTTTGGCTTTATATGCAAATCTAAGATAAAAGCCTTTCCCCCACATTCTGATGGGGGGTAGAAAAACCTCTTCTTAGACTCAAGTAAATACAGTAAATCATTAAATGTTAAGTTGTCTCTTTTTGCTACATTCAGTTACCTCTGCTTGACCATAAGCGTACAGCGGTGCTAATTCATTTTGTTATAATAATGTGACTGCACTTTGTGCACTAGGGGGAATGCCATACTGGATCTGGTATTGGCAACGGGGGATGACATGGTTGGGGACCTACAGATCGGTAGCCATCTGGGGGACAGTGATCACCTAATAATAGAATTCACCATAAGACGTCGAGTGGGTAAGGTAACTAGTAGGGTGAAAGTGCTAGACTTTAGGAAAGCTGATCTCAATGAACTTGGGTGATTAGTCAAGGACGCACTGCAGAGTAGGAGTTTTGAAATGATGAGAGCCCAAGAAGGGTGGCTGTGCCTTAAGGAAATGATCCTTCAGGCACAAAGCAAGACGATCCCCGAGCGAGGCAAAAGGGGGAAAGGGGCCAGGAGGCTTCCCTGGCTGACCAGAGAAATCCAGGGCAGCCTAAGGGACAAAAGGGGAGCACATAAAAAGTGGAAACAGGGAGAGATCACCAAAGATGAATACACCTCCTCTGCTCGTGCTTGTAGGGAGGCAGTTAGACGGGCCAAAGCTGCCATGGAGCTGAGGATGGCAACCCAAGTAGAAGACAACAAGAAATTGTTTTTTAGATATATTGGGAGTAAAAGGAAGGCCCAGGGAGGAATAGGACCCCTGCTAAATGGGCAGAAACACTTGGTGGCAGACAGAGGGGACAAGGCTGAACTCCTCAACGAGTTCTTTGCCTCAGTGTTCCTAAGTGAGGGGCACGACAAGTCTCTCACTGGGGTTGTAGAGAGGCAGCAGCAAGGCACCAGACT